AATAGAGTTATCTCTGACTACATTATGGTTTGTTTTTCTTTTTGCATTTTAGAGTTAGGAAAAACACAATGTGATTGGAGGTTTCTAATGTACAGTTTTAATTGTAACTAGTGGAGCATATAAATGATGTCGCTCTATCCCCAGATTGATTTTTCTCTGAGTTACGAGACTTAACTATACCAATAATGTAGTCAAGAACACTTAATTGCAAAGTCAAACGAGCCTTTAGTATATAACACGTTCTTTTTCACTAAATAATATAATATTAATTTTTATTATGTGCAATTACGACTCTTGATGTTAAGTAGCAAAGAATGAGGACTAGGATCCAATATTTTCCCTTAACTGGCATTCTAAGATCGAAAAATGATCTTTTGAGTCGAATCTGTTAATTCTAATACTTTCATCTTTGGCCACATTTTTTTAAAGTTTTTGGATGCAATTTTTTTTTTTTTTGTTCCACGTCAAATATGATGAAAGATGTATAAGACATGAAAATAATAAAGGAAATAGAAAGACACTAAAAAACTTAAAATGAAATAAATCTCATGAAGAAATAAAAGAAAAGTTTAAATAGAAATAAATATGATATGAATCCAATACGACATTGAAGTTATTTAATATTCATCAATCGCTAACATCTAAATATTTCTTTCGAAAATTCCATTTTGATCAAATTGTATGTTCTACTTTTTTTTTACTTTTTTTTCTTAATGAGATGGAAACCAAAGTAACGAGGAGACATGGTCGGTTGCATTGTGTAAAAATGGTTAGTTCGTGTTGTTGATGGTTTTGGATAATTCATCTTTTGATGTTTTTCATTTAGTCTATTTTAGTTGACGTACGGATTCACTTCACAAATCAAAATCAAACATTCAAGAATAAATTTATAGCTTAATTTTTTATTTAAAAGTTTGCATTAGATTTGTCATCATTATAATTATAAAAATAAAAAAAATCATCATCAAGCTTTAACTTCCTCAGCTGCATATAAAAAATCACATTTTTTTATACAATACTTTGAACATACTTCAAAAAATTAGGAAAAACACACTGGAGGTTTCTAAAGTACGGTTTTAAGCGTAACTATCAGAGCATGTAAATGATGTCAATCTGTCTGCATATTGGTTTTTTTTCCCCCTGAGTTACGAGACTAAACTATACAAGTAAGGTGGTCAAGAACACTTATGCAAAGTATCGAACGAACGCGGTGTTGGATCGAGTGTGGAGATCAACCTTGCAGGCGAGCTTCTCCGGGCGATATTGAAGCTCAGGCGAGATTTGTCTGGCGAGCTCTCAAGCGACGCGGTCCAGGCGAGCGAGGTCTGGCGAGCTCGTGGCGACGAGCTCGAAGGCGGGGTCGTGATCCTCCTGCAGGCGAAGTCGAATCCAGAGTTGCATGCGAGTTTCAGCTCTCGAGCGGGCGAACTTTGGTCAGGCAAAATCCACGCCCTTGCAGACGAGCTCGAGGACAGCTCACGACAGGCTGTCGTGAGCTGGCTAGGGTTTCCCTATAAAAGGGAAACCCCAAGCCCGAGATGAATTACTTCTTCTCCTCATCTTCTCGTGGTCATTCCAGAGGCGGCGGAACTCCTCTCTCCTCTCGCGTTTTTTCTTCAGTGCGCTCTCTCTCTCTCTCTCTCTTGATTTTGAAAGAGAAATCATTAAGAAAGAAATTAAAGAGGGGGTGAAAGAAGTTAAGAGGGGTATTTAAGAAGAAAGGGAATCGTACTGTAGCTACAGTAACGATTGTTATTTTTGAAGAATCTCAAGTTTGAGATTCGCTCTTGAATTGTAATTTCTTGTTAGATTAAATAAGAAATTTACTGTGTGGCTCTCGAGAACGTAGGCAGTTGCCGAACCTCGTTAAATCTTGGTGTACTTTCTCTATTCCGCGTTTCTGCTGTTTTAGGGGTTTTGCGTAGCCCGGCGGGTAGTATTCCCAACACAGGGATCCAATACTTTCCCTTGACTAGCATTCTAAGATCGAAAAATGATCTTTTGGGTCGATTCTATTAAATTCTAGTATTTTCATCTTTGGCCACGTTCTTTTTTTATTCAACTTTTTGGATTCAATTTTGTTTTGTTTTACATCAAATATGATGAAAGATGTATAAGACATGAAAATAATAAAAGAAATAAAAAGAAAATAGAAAACTTAAAATGAAATAAATCCCATAAAGAAATAAAATTTAAATAGAAATAAATATGATATGAATCCAACACGACATTGAAGTTATTTAATATTCCTCAATCATCCAAATATTTCTTTCAAAATTTCCATTTTGATCAAATTGTATGTTCTGCTTTATTTTATTTTTTTTACTTTATTTTCTTAATGAGATGGAAACTAAATTAAGACATGGTCGGGTGCATTATGTAAAAGTGGTTAGTTTGTGTTGTTGATGGTTTTAGATACTTCATCTTTTGATATTTTTCATTTAGCCTATTTTAGTTGACGAGTTCACTTCACAAATCAAAATCAAAAATTCTAGAATAAGTTTATAGCTTGATTTGTTTCTTTAAAAGTTGTATAAAAAATTATCATCATCAAACTTTAACTTCCTCAATTGTATATAAAAAATCTCCTTTGTCATACAATACTTTAAACATGCTTAAAAAATTAGGAAAAACGCACAGTGATTGAAGGTTCCTAACGTACGGTTTTAGGTGTAACTATTGGAGCATGTAAATGATGTTAATCTATCTCCTATTGATTTTTTTTTTTAGTTACGAGACTTAACTACACAAGTAATGTAGTCAAGAACACTTAATTGCAAAGTCGAGCCCTTAGTATAAAAACACTTTCTTTTTCACTAAACAATATAATATTAATTTTCACTATGTGCATTTACTTTTCATGTTCCTTCTTCACTTAGTTAGCAAAAGAATGAGGACTGAATATCAAATATTTTCCCTTAACTAGCATTCTAAGATCGAAAAATGATCTTCCAGGTCGATTATGTTAATTCTAATATTTTCATCTTTGGCCATTTATTTGTATTTTTCAAATAGTTTTTGGATGCAATTTTGTTTTGTTCCGCATCCAATATGATGAAAGATGCAAAAGACGTGAAAATAATAAAGAAAATAAAATGAAAATAAAGAACTTAAAACAAAATAAATCTCATGAAGAAATAAAAGAAAATAAAAAGTTTAAACACAAAGAAATATGAGATGCATCCAATACCACATTGAAATAATTTAATATTCATTAATTGAGAACATCCAAATATTTCTTTTGAAAATTCCATTTTGATCAAATTGTCTACTTTAATTTTTTGTACTTCATTTTCTTAATAAGATGGAAACCAAAGTAACAAGGACATGGTCGGTTGCATTATGTAAATGTAGTTAGTTAGTGTTGTTGATTTTGGATACTTCATCTTTTGATGTTTTTCATTTAGTCTATTTTAGTTGACAGGTTCGCTTCACAAATCAAAATCTTACATTCTAGATTAACTTTATAGCTTGATTTTTTTTTTCTTTAAAAGGTGGTATTGGATTTGTCATCATTATAATTCTAATAAAATAACAGAAAATAAAAATAATCATCATCAAACTTTAACTCCTCAATTGTATAATATCTCGTCTTTCATACAATACTTTAAGCATACTTTAAAAAAAATTAGAAATGTCTTCTTTCCTGTTTCCTTTTAGAAATTGTATATAATATCTCATCAATATCTCATCTTTCATATGATACTTTAAACATACTTTAAAAAATTAGAAATGTCTTCTCTCTGGTTTCCTTTCAGACTCGGAGAGAGAAGAGGGAAAGCAAGATTTAGAATCGTAGATTCTCGCTGCTGGAGAGGAGTAATGGCAGAAAATAAAAGGACAAAGAGAGGAGATTTAGTTTGGGAAAATTTACAAAATAGACCGTTTTTATAAAGTAATTAGCGAAATAGACCACTTTTGAGAGTAATTAGCAAAATAGACCTCTTTTTGACAAAAGAGGTCGATTTTGAAAAAATGGCTTCAAAAAACATACGAGACTACTAGTCCCGTATGTTTAAAGCTAACTAATCTAATGATTAGTGCACTAATCTAATAGATTAGTTAGATTTAAACATACGGGACTAGTAGTCCCGTATGTTTTCTGAAGCCATTTTTTCAAAATCGACCTCTTTTTGGCCTATTGGCCAAAAAGAGGTCTATTTTGCTAATTACTTTTAAAAGTGATCTATTTCGCTAATTACTTTATAAAAATGGTCTATTTTGCAAATTTTCCCATTTAGTTTTGAGAAACTTTAAGATATCCCCCAAACCCCCACGGTATTTATTCTGAAGAAAAAAAAAAGATAGAAGTTACAAGAATTATAGCAGTCAAGAAACTTATCGTTTAAACCACACTTTTACCAGAAATTAATATCTTAGTCCAAACAAGAAGAAATAGTCATTGTTATAAAAAAGTTACCCGTCATCCCTAGTCTCAAATAATTTTATTTTCAGTCCAAACTATTATAACTTCAACAAAAATTTACTTCAAAGACCAATATTTTTAAATAAATGCATCGCATAAGGTTCAAGAAATTTAGCTTACTCTCCTAAACCACATAAAATTTATTATGTAGTCCAAAAATTAGAATTTTACAAGATAACATATTTCAAGAAGTTCATTTAGCCTGTAATTTAAAAAATTATACATTTAACTAAAAAATTAATATCTAAGCAAATTTACTTTCAAAACTATACTTCTATAATATCCGTCCTTATAACAAATTACTCTAGACATGATAAGTAGACAAATTACTCTAGACATGATAAGTAAATTAAACTTGGGCATGGACACACATGCAGCACATGTACACCATACTAGTAATTAGTAAATGGATAGATCAAGTATGCTAGGTATATATAGGTAAAATGTAATTGTAAATTATAAATCAACAGTAGAAACACATCATGTTTTGCATTTTGAGTTCAAGGGACAAGTTCAATCTAAATTTCAAGCAAAATCTCCTCAATGCACTTGTCTTCAGCAAGCAAAACACATCAATGTAAAACACATTGTTCTCAAATGCTTCTTGTAATTGATTTCTGCATTATAAGTATAACCTCCACGGCAATGATCAGATCAAGTGCCTTATAAAACAAGTAATATAACATTCACCAAAAGTTTTCGGCTCAATTATTTGGCAATTATTCTGAGGTATGACAAGATTGGAAAAACAAGTAAAGAAGGATAGAGTTCTTGATGGCCTCCTCCGAGCTTAAAGTTCTTGTGCAGGAGGATGAATCTAGGATGACTTTAACATGCTTTCAATGTCATTAGATGGGGCTGAGGTAGTTAGCAAATCTACCTGCAAATGGAGAAATGAGAAAATGTCAACTCTGCATAGTCTGGCATAACCATAAGCCAATCATAGAGAACAGGAAATAAGAACCAGGCTTCAAAGCAGTTAATTTATTCTTAGTAATTTGCTTGCTAATCAACTTAAAGGATTTAACTTATGATCTCATAATTGCTTGATTGAATTCATGAGTTCTGAAATTGCTTTGCAAGTTTTATGAACTTCTCCTTTCTTTTGGCCGAGGAAGAACAAGAAATACAACAGTTTCTATCTGATAATGGGCCCCTTATGACAGCAATCTGTGGACACACACACCATTGGTCCTTGTACCGATGTACTTCAGTTTCTTTAAGAGTGCAGAAATGATGATATCATATTCTAGGTGTCTTAAAATTGCTTCACAATGGAGGATAGATTGTAACCACCACCAAAAAAAAAACAACCGCAGCCCTGAAACCAAAAATAAAATATAGACATAGTACTCTATCGCAATGAATGGCAACAAATCAGAAAATAAAATTGGAAGATGAGCAGAAGTTACATGCTAAATTTTGCGAGATCATGCACCCTTCCCAGGATAAACTGTATTTATGATATAATGTCCAAGTGATGAATAACTATCCTTTTTTTAAATAGGAAAAAGAATACCCCTTGAAAATGATCCAATATTAAGGTTATCACTTTGATTACTTCAAACTGTAATATCCCAATTTTGTTCTTTGATAGGTTATAGCTGTGACGGTATTTTTATCTTTTCTATAACTCTAGGTTTCATCAATGACTTCACTTCTCATGCAGTTAGTTGCACCTAGTTGAATTTAAATGAGAATTTTTTTCTCCAAAATTAAATAAAATAAATAGAAATAGAAAGTTCTACAAACAATGTCTCACATAGAAAGATAATGACACCTCTTAGTTTAACACCTCAATGTACCTATAATGATAATGACAAAAAAAGTTGGCAAATGCTGTATTGATGTAACAAAATGAAGAGGATATTAAAAAAACCATTAAAAAACTTGTAAAATTGGAGCATGCTTGGGTTGGTTTGGGTTTGGTGTGCTTTTGTGTTGGGTTTATGGGCCAACTCGTACCCAATCCAGTTCCAAGTCAAGTGGGCTCTTCTCAACCCAACTCTAACATAAACTCGAAAAGCTTTAAACCAACTTTCATCAAAGAACCAATTTGGTTGGTCCAATTCAGATCGAGTGTGTAATACCCCAACCCTTGAGAGGGTGATGTGATTAGTATTGATATATTTGATCGGAATACTCATACCACCAAGATGCATCTTCTTTTCGGGAACCCAACTCTTAGAAACTCCAAAGCTAAGTGTGCTTGGTCTGGAGAAATTCTAGGATAGGTGACCCCCTGGGAAGTTTCCAGAGAGCGCGTGAGTGAGGACAAAACGTGCTAAAAAGACATGTGGTGGTTTGTGAGGCCAATCCATCAGATCTAATAGCGTACCGACTCCGGGATTCCGGGACGGGGCGTTACAAATGGTATCAGAGCCAAGCCAACCGGAATTGTGAGAGCTAAGTGCTATGCGGCGCAAAGTGCTACGTCGAGAGGGCGGGAGCCACCTCTTGAGGTCGTAGGAGCCACCTCTAGAATCTCACACGGATGGTACGGTCTTGGATGATATGATTTGGCACAACGAGGACGTTGTGAGTTTTAAGTGGGGGAGTTTGTAATATCCCAACCCTTGAGAGGGTGATGTGATTAGTATTGATAGATTTGATCGGAATACTCATACCACCAAGATGCATCTTCTTTTCGGGAACCCAACTCCTAGAAACTCCAAAGTTAAGTGTGCTTGGTCTGGAGAAATTCTAGGATGGGTGACCCCCTGGGAAGTTTTCAGGGAGCGCGTGAGTGAGGATAAAACGTGCTGAAAAGACATGTGGTGGTTTGTGAGGCCAGTCCATCAGATCTAATAGCGTACTGACTCCGGGATTCCGGGACGGGGCGTTACAGAGTGCGGCTAATGTGGACATTCTGTTTTGGGAGTAAGTAAAGTTGAGCCCAGAATTAAAATCTAATTACAAAAAAACAAGGAAAATGCCAAGTGTACAACAAGAGTTGTAATACCCTTGTACTACTACACTAAAGAAATAGATTCCACAGGAACTCATAATTTCTCTTTGTAATTTACAAGAAAAGGTCCCACTTTTTTGTGTGTATTAGTACAAAAGTAGTATAACTCTTGTGTCCAGTTATCACTACTCAATAAACAATGACCAGATACCAATCCTCATCTTGATAGTAGTTTTGGAATTAGCAACTTTCAATCAAAAACATATTTCTTTTATGTGATATAAGTATAACTGTTGATAGTAGTTTGGTAGCACTGATGACATAATTTTGTTTACATCTGATGAAATACTAATTTTGTGACCTCATGGAGAAGGGCCAAGGGATAGATCAGATGATCTGTATCGTGGGTTAGATGATCCAGTCATGGGTTGCTGTGTTGCACAGGTATTTTGATAAGGCAATGTGTAGCCCTATTTGATATGTAGATACTGAGAAAGTTGATGGATACTCTCTAGAACCTGGATAATCTTATGATGCATTCAACATTTATAATGGACATCAGACATGCCACGTATCAAAAAGGTTAAGAGATGTCACATATCAAATCGTAGGTGACAGTATGATTTGATAAGCAAGTGTGTCTATATAATTTGTCAACTTCGTAGTATGATTACCGTAGCACCTATGTCTTCAAATAAATTGTGAAGTTTTATATTATCTAAGTTAATATTAACTGTTATAGACTTTTAAATCCATGCTATTTCAAAAATGTCAATTCTAACAAAGACACAATTCTGTTGTTGCCAATCCATGACTTACCTTTATCATGAACTTTAAGGATTTACCACGCCTACATACTTACATTAGGTTGTTTTCTTGTCCAAAATATTTGCACCACCAAACCTAGATGTATTGCTTCTTTTTCATAGATTGCAGGAAAAGACCAATCTTCAGTGAGGTGTTCTGTGCGCTCTTCATTGAGTGAGCATCATTAACAAAAAAGTGAGCTGCTAACTGACTCTCCACTTCAAGATCTATACTTTTTCATCACCAAAATAATAAGAACTAGGAATTCGTTTTAAACTGTTCATGAACGCTTAATAGCTGAGCTTGTAATGTATTTGTTTCACTTTTCTCCTATGCATTAATTTCCACTTTCATCATCAACAAAGGCATTTCTCTACTGAAAAGTAAGTTTTCTTCAAAGAAAATTCCAAGTTGAAAAGGCTCTACTAAGTAATTAGCTAGATTATTCTACTAGCTGTCAACATTACATCCAACCTCTGGACTCTATATCGCTAAATAAGGAAACTAGACAAACGAGACAGGCTCGCATGAACCCCACAAAGCAAGTGCCAATTTTAGCAACCTGACTTCATAATAAATTAATAATCCTTCACGTATGGGGGAAACGTGGAAAGTTTTGCCCAGGGAACAAGCTTGATAGGGGTCATGATCGTAACATATCTAAATTTTACTCTCAAGTAGAATGACAAAATGCAACAAATTCTGCAATAGATTAACATTTTTTTAACAGAGACATTAGAGGATGATGAATTGATGATGATGAGGCATCAATTCCTCCGAACCAATCAAAAACTTCATCCAAGCCACGAAATCTCTCTGTCTGCGCAGCAAAGGAGAAAACTTTACCCTGAATGCAGTCGTTCGATTCGCTGGGCAGCTTAGAGACGAGGCGAGCAGAGGCAATCGCGCTGTGGGCCGGAATCATCGAGCTCAGAACCAGCGATCCTCTGAAAATGAGAGCACATTCAATACTCAATGTAAAAAATAGATAAATAACTAAAAAAATAAATAACAATGGTTACCTTCTAATGGGGCGCTGAAACCTAGGGATTGAGGATCTCAAAGGGAGAAGAGACGAAATTGAAGGAGGAGGAGAGGAAGGCGATGGGGAAACGGTGAAACGAAAGGGGAGATGAAGAGATGGAATTCGTCGAGCGATCGCTGCAGCCATTGGGATTTGTATTCTTTGGAAATAATCGAATCAGAGACTCAGCGACAAAACCCTCGCTCTGATAAGCACAGCAACAAAAACCCTCCCTTTGCACTTCTTCGTAGTTCGCAGGACCGCAGGTGATGATTTATAGCTAAACCCTTAAAAAACCCTTCCTTTGCACGAATACGTGTTGCTTGCAAATTGCAAGTCTTTTCTGTTGTGGGTTTTTTGGCATATATACCCCTCAAATCTTCCTTATTCGCAAACTTATGCTCCAAATCATCATATTTACAAAACTGCCCCTTAATTCTCTCATATTGAGTATTTTATGCATTTGGAGGGTAATTGTGCAATTATCAAAATTTGAGGGGTAATGTTGCAAATAGAGAGTATTTAAGTGGTATATATGTAAAAAAAAAACTCTCTTTTTAATAAGGACAAATTGCTTACAAGCCTCTTGAAATTTTTATCATGTGCCGTCTCTCCAGTTGATTAGCTGAGGTTGAAAACAACCTATTTATGCAGAACTAAACTTTATTTTCTTTACTTTTGCTACTTCAATACAAACAAACATGCCCTAAGGCCAAAAGCCTTTTTGTAAGACTTTTACTTCATGACTGCACTGCAAGGATAGAACTTTTAAATATACCTCACAAATCATAGACATTTTAGGCTTCAAACAGTACTAATTAACTATTTTAAGAATACTTTAGAGAGACAACATTGCCCCTTCGCCTCAAAAACAAAATATAAAACTTTCACATAATAAATCATCAATATTGTAACAAATGAATTAATAACCAAGCAGTTAATTAAGATCGCTAGCTTCTCTCTCCTCTCGTACCAGTCTAATTAGAGAACTGACTCTTGGCAGCATAGGTTTCCCCATGCTTCCAACTAGAAGGCACAACTCCGACGAACTCTAGCGTCTTACGGTCGCCGAGCATGAGTTTGAAGGAGAGGGCTTGGTTTCTGAAGTCAATGTTGGTTTGCCAGTTAGCTCCCCAGTTCCTCTGCATCGCCGTCCATGCTGATGACCGTCTAGACGAGCCTTTGACCCACGCGGCCTTGACGTCACCGCTGCCTCCGACGTTGGTGAACATTACGAGGTTGAAGTTGGCGGTACCTTTAAGGGTGAATCGCACTCCGCCAGATCTTCTGCATGGTACCCTTTAGGACAAAGAGAACAGATTTATCAAGAGGCGGTTTGTTTTCCAATTCGTACGTTGCACCGTAACTCGAGGGGTAGTAAGTTCTAATGAGTGATACTACAGGGGGGGCTAAAGTATATATTATGATATGATGTTACCTTCTGTAGAGCACAGGCACAATACCCTCACTCCCAACCAGAGCGACACGTGAGAAAGCAGCAAGAGACATATCAAAATGACGATGCGGAGGATCGCACCACCCACCATTATTATTCGGAGGGCAGAAGTTGGTAGCCGTCACCGTGACCGTAGTTCTCGGAAGGCACCATCGAGGGTCGGCTCGTCGGTCGCAGGTGATTTGAAAGCAAGCACCGCAAGCCTGGCCTTGTCGAAACAAGGCTGCGCTTAGCGCTGCGGTGTTTATCCCAAAGCCCGAGTGAAACGTGTTGTCGTAGCCACAAGCTCCTCCTGGTATGAGTTTAGTAACGATTATATATAGTTGGTCAAAACTCGTTTATCATATCGCTTATTGTTCCTGAAGTTAACATTAATATTTCTGTCATCACAATCTTGACATATATAAATGGTTTCTATGTATCTCTTGAGTTGTGCATCAAGACATAAGACGAAATTAGGTTCTTTGTATTTAATAGAAATGCTTGGGCATTTATTCCAGCTTAAACCCCATATTTTATTATTACTTACATATAGAAATCTATGTAAGTATGACTAGCGAATACGCATTCTATCAGAACCTTGTATAGTGCGAGGCAATCTGAATCACAGAGGGGGCATATGAAAATTACCATCATACCCCCACTGGCTCACATACTAAGTTTCAGGACTCCCTGCAAGATGCAAAGCGTTGTAACAGAATACATACTCTGACTAACGTACCAAGACTAGTAGGGTTTTGAGAAGCTCCGTAGAAAGTTGCATGGGCAGGCAACCAGCCACCAGCTGCTTTCCCCTGTACCCCCTCTATCTCCAGCAAAAGAAAGAAAATCCCGTGAGCAAGAATCAACATAATTCCTTCCATAATTCTTCACAAAACAAAACAGCGGAAAATAGTGATAGATTGATGGTGAGAGTGATCAAACACCATGAGGCTCACGTTGTCTTATAGAACACCATAACGCGCTTTCTCGTCGGTGTATAAAAGAAATGTGTAATTAATTACTTGGTTGCAGAATTGAAGGAAGAGAACATTTGCATGTGCTTCGCTTTCGTTTGTCCTTTCAAAGTATTCACCGTAGCTGTACGGTTTCCGTGCCGGTGCCCAAAAATACTAGCAGGGTTGGGGGCAAGTTAACGTTAGGCAACACGACCATAATCATAACAATTTGAAGTAATAATGGGGTAATTAAATTAATAGGGTTAATTATAGGATCTGTTCTTGTAAATCTAGATTAAAATGCTGAAACTAAAATAAGAAGGGGAAAAAACACTTGCACTTGGGTTTAGAAATGGGTGTCAAGTCTATAGTGGGGAGGATCCAAATTCTTTTTGGATACCACTCGTATGAATATTGGCGTGTTTTGTACAGAACCCCTCTGACATTGTAAATTTCAACAAAACCCCCTACTTTAGAGAGTTTCACAAATATTTCCCTAATTTTCTCTGCAAGTTCTTCTAAGTACAAATCATGAAAAAAATAAAGTCACTCTGTTACGATTCTTCTTCTTCTTTTTTTTTTTTTTTTTTTTTTTTATGAAGCAAAAGGCTTTTTTTTTTTTTTTTTTTTTTTTTTTTTTTTTTTTTGGTTTATGGGCTACATTTTTCGTGCAAAACCAATTTATAAACGTGCTTTTTATGCATCCCTTGCAACCAATAATTCCATCTGTATGATAGAAGCGATTAATTAATTAAGATAAGTTTTCATTACTGAAATAATGAATACGTACACTACGTAGAGAGAATAGGAGGAGAAATCAAATCTACAAGTCTACAACAGCCTAAAAGAAAATTAGTAATTAATCAGTATAAGAAGATTCAATGGACACTTTGCTCAAAGTAAACTTATTAATTATTAGGTAATAATTATCCAAGTAAACTAGCTAATTCATTAGTAGCTAGACAGAGAACAGATTAAAACAAAAGGCAGATTAAATTAAGTCAAACTTCGTTATAAAATGTTATAACTTTAATCTGCTATATTTATATATAATAAAGTGCAATATTTTTCTCTTTTGAGTTGTTATAGTTTGAATTCAACAGCAGCAAGCAACAATGCCAACACTGCTTTGTACAACTCTTATCTTTTCTCTCTTCTAAGCTCCATCTCTTTCAGCTACGCACATGAATATTGCACAGATCATTCGTGTACATATAACCAAATTGAGAATGGATCAATCACATAATCACTTTGAGGTAAAGTGTAGGAATAAACCCAACCCGTAACAAAAGGATACAAGTTGAAAACTTTCGATTCATACACCAAACAGAATCAATCCAAGAAACAAATAGACTCATTCCAACTGTTCTATCGATGCTTCTAATTAATGACATAGCTAAAGAGACTAATACTCATGTACCCTAAGAATGTCTTGAGCGAAGAAACTCGTGTCCTTTAAGAATGTCTTGAGCGAAGAAACTCTGTGTCCTTCAAGAATGTCTTGAGCGAAGAATCTCGTGTCCTTTAAGAATGTCTTGAGCAAAGAAAGAAAGATAAACAAAAAGAAATAAGTAACGCAACATTATGTATAATCTCGAGCAAAACACTACCATCCCAAGCAAAAATGTTGGTGGTGACTCAGGTCAGCTTTCTAACTTCTTGGACATTGAAGCGAGCCCTGCACTAACCAGATCAGCGATGGGTGTGCATTGTAACGAAAATCGTGTGGCTTATGAAGACGATCAAGATAATCATAATAATCATCATCGTTTTCACCATAATAAGCATCAAGAAGATACACATACTGGGAATGAATCCTTCCATCCTTGAAATGGAAGAACCCAACCTCATTAAACAACCTGTCATCTCTTTGCCAATACTTGTCCGAATAATAATAGCATTCCCCGCACAACCAGGAAAGGGACTAGATGGTAAGGCTACAGAGTTCACACAGTCTAACAGTAAAGCTTTATCTCCTAGGTTGTTGATCTTTGTCCAAGACGTGACCTTTGCATCTAACTTGAAAACACTGAAGCCTCATGTGATGCCATCATATTCTTTACTACCAACAAAGGCATCTTCAAAAAAATGAAAAGGATACTTACCAAAGCCTTTTAAACTATCCTCAATCTCATCATCAACATCCTCATGACTCTCATGTTCATCCCCTGGGACGATATCTGCATCATCCTTTATCTCATCTTGTCTTTCACATTGTATAAAACAAGTAACCACTAACATGTCCCCCGCAAAAACTACCAAATAATGAGTCTCTGGATTTTTGCGGTAAATATAGTGAAGTGTGGCTCATGATCAATGTGACAAATGAATAAATGGTAATCTGTTTGAGCATGGAATTGCCCCTTGCAAAAGGCTAAATTAATATGAGCTTCATCCATTTTTGGGAACAATGTCCACCTATCACCTCCCAGTCGACAATAGGTTAGGGAGTGTCCTGCATATGCCATAATTATAGAACCATTTGGGTCTGTACGTGAATCACAAGACATGAAAACCTTACATGAATAGCAGTCAAATAGTAAATTTGGCGGCAACTGGATTTGAGTTCTGGAGAAGGGATCCAGCAGACAAACCTTACAATATCCACGGTTACAAGCAACCCATGTGAGGCTCCCCATATGATTTTATTATCAAGCTCTGGAAGTTTAATGTAGTAAACCTCGCGATCAGTAAGACTGAAAAAACTTAATGAATGGTTTACTCGATAGTCAACAATGGACATTAACCAAATGAGAGTTTTCTCCTTGTAGATAGAATACCATAATTTGCACACTGCACTAAATTGAGTATTATCTAGTGACGAAGAGAGTTTGCCGGGAATCAGCCTCAATAACTCTGGAAGTATAGACCAATCAGCCATACCACTCAAGATTCACCTAAATTCAAAGTAGGGAGGAAATTTTATCACCATCATTTTGAAATTTTTTGCTTTTACTTGAAAGGAAATTTCAAGTGTAATAATCTTGCTATAAATAAATGAATATTGAAATGTCTACAAGCCTGGAATGGTATGCACATAAAACATTATTTGCAGGTAAAGGGTGAGTAAATTGCTGAAGAAACTGAAGTGATGGGGAAGATGCTTATAGAAAGGATTAAATTATGAATTCAAGTTTAATGATTATTCGGTAATGTAGAACATTCTCAGTGAGCTTTAACTAGAACGAAATCAGCAAATATTTGGAGATCTCTGCATCATAATTGCAAATAGAGAGTTTTCCTAAGGGATATGGTAGCTTTGTGAAAAACATTATGGAATAATATACGTTCGTTCATCTGTGACCAAAATGATAATGAAAAAACTATAAAAATTTCAAATAACAAAAGAATCTGACTGATTTAATCACCAAAACAAAGTTCTAACGAGTTCCGACTCATGGTATTGATCTTTAAATTTATTTACGAGTTTGTTGGTCTTAGTGTGCAGAAAATAGACAAAGGTTAATCTTTACAGTCATTTAACTTTTAAACTCATTTTGTTCCGTAGTGTTCCCGAGTTTTCTAATATTTGTATAAAATGTTCTAATGCAAAAGGCACTGTTATATGCAATTTTAGATGATTTAATTTTCCTTTTCTATTTTTCATTTTTTATTTTTTGTGCATTTTAAGCTGTTTCTACAAACAGTCTTATAAAGATAACTTGTATTTCTATACATTACATGGTTCAATAGGGACATATTTTCAAATACGACTAAATACAAAAAATCCCCCTAAGCTCAGCAAGATTAACAGACAAGCCCCTCAGATTTCAGAAGCGATACTTTAACCCATCTTTGTCAACTTATAAATTTAACTTGAATGAGAAAAATTGTTGTCATAGGGTATGAGGCGTATGACAGTTATCTATGTACTGTTATGCCGAATGTGTATGATAACTGTACTGGAAACAGACGCAAAGAAAAAATCGATGATTATTTGGCTAGAAATTGAGATGAGGAAAATTATAATAGTTGAGAGGCGCATGTTGTCAGGAACATGTGTGTTCGTACATGTACTCATACATATTACACATCAAAACAGTTAGAAGTTATGATGTTTATTAGAAGCAATTAAAGGTATTAGTTCATATTTGTTGTTTGTAATTTTTCAAAGCAATTAGAAAGAGGGAACTAGGATTATAAAAAAAATAGAAAGAAGTAGGTAAAATCTCAATAATTGAAGTCCATAACTCGTGATCAAGTAAAGGTATCGAACGAAAAAACTAAAAGCCCTATCAAATTAGTGGATCTATATTGACCTTAATTATCGAAACAAAATCCACACTTTAACCTCTTAAATTCGGTTATTGATATCAAATAAAATTTTATTCTCCAGAATTTCAGATTTGGATTTTTGAGGTTACAACTGCGAATTTCGATTATTGATATCGAAACAAAATTTTATTCTCCAAAATTTTATAGTCCTGGATAAGTGACCAGTGAACCGATTAATTTGTAGTCAATGATCAAATTCTCAAAATTTAGGCATACATTATCCTACTTGTAAGCCCACTCAAGTCCAATAATATAAGTTTGCTTATATTAAACTCCTTCAACCTTTTCCCTTCTATTTCCATAATTAACTTTGTTTACTTCTGTAAGAGTTTGCATTCATCAGGTCAAGTCTACATCGATTAGTATCAGATGTGGTTATTGTCTCTACTTGAATCTGTATCTCTATCATCCGATTCATACCCACATAAGTTTTCATTGGATATGCATCGTAGATTTTTGTTCAATAATAGTCCATATCCACTTCCTATTCGGAGGATTGCAAATATGGCATAACTTATTTCTGTTTTGTATATTATATGATTTGTATGCATCCATATATTCGATATAAGCAATACAAGTCTATGAGCCCATATACTGGTATTTTGCTTCCGATGATAATGCACTCTGCCTCGATAAACTAGTATTTTGCGTATGTCAAAGGATTCTCATCTCATATTTATTATCGGACGCAATTGTTTAGGATATCTGGCATGCAACCTTCAGATTTTCTATTCAAACCTATATATGGCTATCTTTATGACTGGAACAATGAAAAGAACATTCAAGATGTATTTTTTGGACCCTCGCTATTTTAGGGTTTCTAGGGTTTTGCTTGTCAATCTAAATCATCTCAAAATGTAATGAAACAGGGAGGGTTGTCTATAAATGCTTAGAAAACTGATAGAAAATCTGAATCAGAGCTTTTTCAATTAAATTTCTAAATTAACTAGTCCGCTTAGGCATTCGCCTAGGCCTAGACGGTACCTAGGCCGCCTAACTAGCGTCTAGCCGGTATTTAGGCTACCCACCTAGATTTTACGAGCGTTTAGGAGAGCATTGTCTGCTTACGTGGATTGCACCCTGTAGGCCTTGGTTGTGATTTTATGTGTTGTAGCCTACACGTCCTCCAAACTTCATTAACATCCAAATATGAACACCTCCACTACTCTTCCGACCTTCAACATAACCTCATTGATCACCACTTAAATGAAGAAAGAACTCCACCTAGACACCAGTCCGGCATCTAAGCTTTCTGTAACATTGACATTCACTATCAATTATTGTAATTAAAAATAATAAAAAAACATCTTAGGCTCTAGCCTTGTTAATTATTATTTTGGCTATTTAGTATCTAAGTATGCATGATTTATTGAGGAACTAAAATTGCTATCTTTTTTTAAAAATTTATATAAATTTAATACATATTGTAATTTGAGTTGAGATGAACTTATAATTTGAGTTGAGAAGTATAAACATACAAAGAGTTGTTGTAATTGGTAAACCAAACAGTTTAGTTAATAGTATTGGTATTTTAGTATTTATGCATCTTTGAATGAGTATATATATATTTATTTTCAAGTATCACAATTAAAAAAATAAAAATAAAAATAAAAAAACGCCCAGAAACCGCTTAGACGCCCGCCTAGACGACTAAGCGCTGGGCGTCAAGTCCGACGCCTAGAAACGCCCAGCATTTAATGTAACATTGCTTTCAGCCCCTCCTAAACTCGAATTGTTTTAAGTGAAGGCTGTGAGATTGATTTTGGAATTGTGGGATTTGCTTTGATTCATTTTCAATTTGGAGTTGATTTTTCCTGCAATTTTAGGCTTAGTACAGTGTAAGATAAGAATATGAGATGAGAAAAGTAGTTAAAAAGAAATCAGTTATTGAATGTGGAATTTTTTTTTAACTTAATTAGTTAAAATATGATATGAAATGCAATTATATTGCTTATATTTTTCATGTAATTATTTTTCCTATTAATTATCATGTTATATTCCTTATATTTAATAGTTAATCATTCAGTTTTATAATCATTCAGTATTATAATCATTCAGTATAAATGACAACTCCTTTAATCTGATATATTTGCCTTTATATTGGTATGTCTCCCTTTAACATGCTATATTTTGTTTAAGTTACTATACTTTTGTATATCAACAATATTTTCTGTGCACGATCAATTCTTTAGAGAGCGTTTAGCAACCGTGACGTTTTTATTTTTTTTTTTAAATAATGAATCGCGTCTGGCAACCGAGGCGTTTTTTTGACTTGACCCTTTACAAAATCCAAAAAATAAACATTTTTCTCCAAACACGAAAAAGGTGTTTTGAGGTTTCGTTTTTCATCTAAGTCGTCGCCGCCCACAA